TGATGTCTTTGATGTGAGGGAAGAAGTATTGCATCAACTAGCATATGTATTAAGTTTATTGCATTGGCAAGCAGAGCTTTGCTCTTATTTGTTTTACTCTTGAGTCCCCTTTTTGAAAACTGAACTTGAGTACAATATTCCATCATAAAAGATTCATCATTTAATATATAGATATTATTGTCCATATCAGGGGTGAAATCCAGCAGGTTCTGACAGGTTCTGGAGAACTGGTAGCGGAAATTTTGAATAGTTCAGAGAACTGACAAATACCACCTCTGGCTGGCCCTGGAGTAGGGAGGGAATGGGGATTTTGCAGTATCCTTCCCCTGGAATGAAGTGGGAATGGAGATTTTGCAGTATCCTTCCCCTGCCATGCCCACTAGCCATGCCCACCAAGCCATACCATGCCCACCAAGCCACACCCACAGAATCAATAGTAAAAAAAAATTGATTTCACCACTGTTCCATATCTTATGAAACATTTCTTAATGAATCCTATGTTTTATACTAAATTGTGAATCCAACATCATTTGTCTAGTTAATTCTGACAAAGCAAATAAATAATATCCTTTTATATCAATTATGCAAATATATATGCTTAGTATAAAACATATCTATATCTAAATATCATCTATCATACATAAGCTTTATTGACATCAGCAAGACCCTAGTCTGCCAATTTACAGACTTCCTAATCCATATATTTCAGGGGACTGACCAACAGACAAGAAATTTGATAATAAAGACTTTATACATCCATACATAAACAGAATGCGCCAAAGCTCTCCTCTTTTTGACTAGAGAGAAACCAAGTTAGTCATTTTGGAATCCTGGCTTCAAAAAGGGAAAAAATAAATATAATAAAGTCTTGCTCAAACTAACTCAAAGAGATTCCTCCAATAGCCAGTCACATCCAGTGAAAAAGACTTTGCCTTGAGAAAGAACAGCAAGAGATTTATAGGAAGGCAGTCTGAGGGAAATCTGGATAGAGGGAGAGAGATTGGAATGGGAACCTAGGAAATATAGTAATTTTTGCAATTTTTATATTAGAATTAATGTTCTTTCTGCATAGCAATTACATGTTATTACACTGGTAGTCTCTATGTAATACTCCATGGTATTACATTGTTATGCAACATGGAACCTCATTATACCAGAGTGCTTCCAAAGAAGAGGAAGTCGAGTTAAAGCATAGTCTGCTTTAATAATCCTCCCTTCTACCACTCTATGGAATATTTATGTTTTCTATGCAGTCTGTGTTTTTATCAGCACCAAATGTCTTGGCACTTGACTATCTTAGGCTCAGAGGAACTTTTATTTTTAACCTTTTCTCATTTTTTAATACATTTAATTTTAAAAATATAGTTTGGTGCTTTTATCTTTGAACAATGGGAGGTTTTTAATAGTTATGCATCACCAAAACTATCAGAGCCAGGATGTAATGCTACAAAGTTCCTTCTTTTCTTCATAATTAGCACCACCATAATTAGCACCACTACTATTATATTAAATTTACAGGAAAGTAAGTACTCAAGCTGTGAGATGCCTAGCAGTCTCACAAGCCAGTGTTCTTCCAAGATAGATGGTACCAGCAGGAAAGCACTCCATAACTGAGGAACAGTGGGAGAGCAGATCAATCTATGTAAAATGCAAAATATTTCTGGGAGAAGAAAAAACTTTTCCTAATCTTGCACCTGCTGGCACCAACTCACCACAGCCAACTTGCCATGGTCAACTCACCATGAGATAATTCACCATGGGACAATGGCGAATTGTCTCATGTGGGACAGTGGTGAGTTTCAATTTTTTTTACTACTGGTTCTGTAGCGTGGCTTGGTGAGTGTGACATGGCTTGGTGGGCGTGGCTTGGTGGGCGTGGCAGGGGAAGATACTGTAAAATCTCCATTCCCACCCCACTCCAGGGGAAGGATACTGTAAAATCTCCATTCCCTCTCCAATCCAAGGGAAAGTTACTACAAAATCCCCATTTCCTCCTGATCAGCTGGGACTTAGGAGGCAGAGAATAGATGGGGGCGAGGCCAGTCAAAATTTTTACTACCGGTTCTCCGAGCTACTCAAAATTTCCGCTACCGGTTCTCCACAACTGGTCAGTACCTGCTGAAACCCACCTCTGATATGGGACAAGTTGGGACAAAAGTTACATAATATCAAAGAAATGGTGGAATAGAATCATTAAAGAAAGAAAGCAAAAGGAAGAACAAAATGAAATGTGAATGACAAAAATTAAAATAATATTTAATTGTTTTAAATAATTAAATAAAATTGTTGAATTGTCCCACAGCAAGTTGGCCCACAGCGAGTTGTTCCATGATGAGTTGGCCACGGCAAGTTGGCCATGGCAAATTATCTTATTCCAAGCCACAGTTCCTAATTGTTGGTTTAAGTCTTCAGAATTGTATGTTCATGGATATTTTTGAAAATACAGTGATACTTTAACCTACCCCAATTAACTTTTCATAGAAGTTTTATTGAAAGAATGCTTATCTTTAGATCCATAAGGTAAAGGTAAAGGTTCCCCTCGCAATATGTGCTAGTCATTCCCGACTCATCTCCGTTTCAAAGCCGAAGAGCCAGCACTGTCCGAAGATGTCTCTGTGGTCTTGTGGCCAGCATGACTAAATGCCAAAGGCGCATGGAACACTGTTACCTTCCCACCAAAGGTGGTCCCTGTTTTTCTACTTGCATTTTTCTTTTATGTGCTTTCAAACTGCTAGGTTGGCAGAAGCTGGGACAAGTAATGGGAGCTCATTCCGTTATGCGGCACTAGGGATTCAAACCGCTGAACTGCCAACCTTTTGATCAACAAGCTCAGTGTCTTAACCACTGAGCCACCGTGTCCCTTAGATCCATAGATACACACTAACACAAGATACTATTATCACACCTGCTGATAGAAAATGTTATTATCTGTTAGACTGCTGACTCAAAACACTTGCAAATGCTAGATTGAATTTACAATAAAAGGCTTAAGTCATCTAATTATGTCTCATCACAGTCTAAGTCATTTTGTTGGGTGACAGCATAGTTTTTTTTCCTGAAACAGAAAGAGTATAAACTGCAGAGGAGCTAAATCAATCCTGTCAAGAAACTAGAGAGTGGGATGGAAATGCTCACATTCAAATTACCTTTCAGATGACTATTTCATGTAGATGTCTTCCATATAAATTTTATTCCAGCTTCCTAATTTCATAAATTTAATTCATCTACTCGGGATGTTTCATTAGCTAATCAATTGGTCACTTATAAATGAAAAGCACCTCTTCCTAACTCATATCCTAAAATACATTAATGAGAACATCAGATTTATTCAAGAAAGTACATGGCTTCATGTGATCATGTGTGAGGATGGGATGTATTATTTTATTATTTTTCTTTTTATTTCTTTTATGTGGTATTTTTATATTCTTGTAAGCCACCTTGAGTTGCCATGTGCAAGTTAGTGGCAATATAAATTTTCTAAATAAATAAATTATATGATGGCCAACTTAAATGAAAACCACCAAGAAAATGGATGTAAGCCAAAGTGCTTCAGTCAAGAATTGTTTGTTTGTTTGTGTCACTTTTCAATAAATGCATTCCTTGCAACACAACATAGACTTTGATTGATTCAGTTTAACTCGTACTAAGTCACCTTTGGTTCACATTGAAATTAATGGCTTGATTTATCTGTGTTTGTGTAACTTCATATATGTAGACAAATAAAAGATTAGTTGCATATTTGTTGTTCATAATTTTATAATTTTGTCATGGATGTATGCAAAAGAAACTCATGTGTGGCTTCTTGCAGGAGGTGGCCTCAGCTCTGTCAGTTAATTTTCTTTAAGAAGTAAATTAGCTCCAATAATGTCTGTGAATGAATGGTATTCTACCATCCATAAAGATTCATTACCATATAACATCTGTTCTGGAAATTTATGGGATTCTCAGGGGCAGATTTGAGACTCATGGAGAACAGGGTATGAGAGAAAGAGAGTAAAATAAAATTTTATTGCATAAATATATATTCATTTAACATTAGAGATAATCTATAAGCTTCCATTTATAAGGATAAGAATTTTGAAATATTAGAATTAGTTCAAAAGCTGCTTAATCTTTATGATTCATGAGCATTGGGATTATGTTTCTATGATTTGTCCTGTGCTTGTACAGATAATGAGACCCATCTCTGCACTCATTCACTGAACAGGTAGCTGAAACTTCCTTATTACAAGAATTTCAGCAATACCATTCTAATCCCAATTAATAGGAGAGTTCATAAGAAAAGTATTGTTTTAATGGTTTTTTAAAATGAATATTATGGCATTTACTGAAAATCAATATAAAAAAATATATTTACTTTACATGTGTGCTGCCTATATACAGTAGGCATAGTGTGTCCAATATCAGTTAAGACTGATTGACTTCTTTTCCTTGTAAATGGATTGTGTTAAGAATACCCATCTGTCACCCTTTACATTTATGTTTATATCCACCCCCAAAACGCTTTTTAAAATGTGTATTAAGCTTGTTGGAAGCAAAGTTTTCAAGTTCTCCCAGTAATAGCGAGTACAAAATTAGGACATATTTTGACTAATATAATGGAATAAAATATAACTCTGATTTGAAAGGATATTATGCCAAGGCAAAATAGCTGGTAAAAGTCTGCCCTCAAATCAAATCTAATTCACACATTCACAATTAGTTCACATTATCCCCATGCTCAGCCTACAATACTGCAAATTGTCTAAAGTTGACTACATGTTTCTGGAATTCTTAGAATTTCATACAACATATAGGTCTGCACCCAAATCCCACAATGATGTCTTTAATACAAAGAGAATCATCTGCCTCAAGAACCACATAGCTACCAATATTTTGGAGCTAATATCAATTTTTCTTGTCCCCATGCCCCCCCCTTTTTTTAAAAAAATATTGTTTTGGGAGACTGATAGAATGAGTTCTTTTTTAATCAATATGTTAAAAAAGAGGCTAGTCAACCATTCATTATAGATGCTTTAATAATTTCTGCATAAAATATGAGGTTGGATTTGATTGCCAAAATAGCCCAACCAACTTTGTGATTCTATGGTAATATTAATATTTTTTTTTTGACAAAGTACATCCAAAGTAATATATCACACATACTCTAAATATATAATTTGCCCAACTACCACAAGTATTTATTCTTTTTATTTATACCCTGTCTTCTCCCTGGTCAGATGAATGCCTGGTTCCACTTTTAACATTACAATTCACATGTCCATTCATGCATACATTAATGCTGATAAAAAGAATCATTTCAATAAAGAAGCTTAAATATTTATCCCAAAAGATCTGGAGATAGTCAAAAAAGAAAAATAAAATACTACATTGAAATGGACATTGTGACAATGATTTTATTAATGATCAAATAGATTAGTAAAATACAATAGGACATTATTGAAAAATATTTGGAAGTTTGACCAATACATTGTTATAGAAGTAACAGATTTAGAATCTTTCCTTTATAAATATCCATTCTCATTGTTTGATATATGCATATTTGTAAAACATGTACTGATGTAAATCTGCTTCAGGTTGCTTGAACCCTTTATAACAGAGTTGAATTGTATACATAAATAAGTGGTTATTGTCTCAAAAGAAAAGGCATCTACATGGTATAGGTTTATACTTTTCTTCAATATCAGATTATGGAAGTAGTATCTCAAAATTGAAAGTGTTTTTTATTTCTTCATTATTATTATTTTTTTGCAATTTTAGAAGATGGAAGTTCTTGCCGTCCACATAAATTTCATAACGCTTTCATTTCTTACGCTCAGCCAAATTCTTCTCAATCCTGACAAAGTCTTAACATATAAATTAATATAATAACAATACTGCTTGGAAGCACTGATATGTGCACTGGTCCTCAAAACAATACTATATGGCAATGATCAAGTTCTATTAATAGACAAAACTGATGATGAATATTCAGAAATTTTAATTTGAAGTAGGTCTTTGCAATATCCTTCAATACATATACTAATCAACCAAGAATAATGTCAACAATGATTTGTCTAATTTCTTTCTACTTAGTCATCAGGAAGTAGACATGTGCTGATGACTTGGTCAGGGTGTCACTATTTGACATATATTTGAATTACTATTATTAATTGCATATTATGCTGCTCTTTCTGGAAAAAACATCAGGAATTCCATTACAGATTTGGTCAAGGAAAAATATTTTCTTTTCGTCTTATTCTCAAAAGACCCCAGGAGACAAGATCTAAGTCACTTCCTCTGCTATTTATTTCAAAAATATAATTGCCTGAGAAAGCTGAAGGTACTGGGTTGAAGGTACTACCAAACTGAGATGAAATAATGGTTTAGTAGAGTATTTTTGAAATAGTGCCACTGTTTTCTTACAGTGTATATCTTTTGGGAAATGGATATTTGTGTTTTATTTTTAAAATGTTTGAATCTTGGAATCATTCCCATGTATTGTTAATTTGATTAACTCTACTATTTGTCCTCCAATTTGTTCTTGTGTTTGAGGGAAAATAAATAAATACATTTTGTAGAGCCAATTTTCATGGAGATCATCTACATTCAAAGATAAAGTTTTGGAAATATCAATTCATTCTCTGAGCACTGATGTACAAATATAGGAAAAAATAGGACAGGAACAAAGAAGGAAAATAACAGTAAGAAGAAATGGCAAGAAGAACTCCTAAAAGCAATAGTACAACCTTACACCCGTTCCCTTCCCACCACCCACTATTTTGTATGTGATGAATACAAACCATTCTCCACCCCACCCACCTGCATCCATAACTCAGGATTAACTCTTCAGACAAGGCAACTGATTCTTTTCTGTTCTCTCCAGAGGTTGAGGGAAGGACTTTACTTTACAAGCACTTCAAGAGAAAAGTATTGCAAGATGTTCCTCTGGGACAGTCGCAGAGTTTTCCAATCCTGGCACCTTTTCTCACAGCACACTGCTCTCCTGCATCACACTGTTATAAACAGCAACCAACAATTAGTTCAAGAGTGTAGCCACATTGGACCAGAAGGAAAACATTTGTAAAATAATTTTTTTCTGCAAAAATACAAAATCTATATATGAGGTTTGCATTTCTGCCTGATTTAAAGGACTAAAGCTAATATTCAATTATTATTTCCATATTGTAACAGATCAGATGAATGAATTAGAGAAAATATTTCATTTGATTTTCTGTATCTGCAATGAAATTTTTATAAAAATCACTTAAAACATCCGTTCTTTTTCCTTTTTAACCTTGTTCTAATATTTAATTTAAAAAAAACTATTTGGTGAAAAGGAGTCTAATTCCTCCTGTTAATGAATGACCAATGTTTCATTCAGATTCTTTTTAACTTTAGTCTCAGAAGCATTTCAATTTAAGTAATACCCTAAAATATATGCAAAGAATGCTAATAATCCAAGTGCAGAAATCTAGGTGTGACTACTAGGTTTTATTTCATTTAAATAAACTTCCTCTCCAATAAATGTACAGCAGATATATACATTAGCCTGTTTGGGACTGATAAAGATTCACTGAAGTTCTTCAAGTAGTCATATTTACAATATAATCCAGTGCATGGGATTTAATCCCAAAAAACAGAATATATATTTGCAGCTTTAGGATATTAGACAGAAAAGGAAAGAAAAGGAACAGAACATTTGTAAAGTGTTATTTCAGTATTTTCAAGCAAGGCACCAAATGTTTGACATGAGGGAAGGCAGGACATTATTATTATTATAAGGCTAACATTATGTTGATAATTTGGGAATTAATAAAGACAATAGGGTGAAAAAGTTTTATTGGCAGTTTTCTAGGAAAAAGTTCTTTTCTCAGTCAGAGCCCTATGTCAACTCCCTACCAACCTACTTCTGCTCCAGGGAATGTGATGTTTTAAAAATAACTTTTCTGAGTTAGAATCAGAACACACTCACCATGGGAACTTGACCATACTTCTTCTCATAATGTGGGAGCCGTTTGCTTTTCAGCTTCTCAAGGACTTCCTGCAGTGCTTCAATCTGCAGACACATGAACTAGTCTATTAGTAATAGATCAAGCAGCCTGAGGAGGCTGAATACAGAGTGGGAAACAAAGCATTTGACAACCTAAAAGAAAGATGGACCAGCCTCTCACAGGCAATTGGGAACGGTGGGCATTAAGTGGTTGTAGACCTTATGCCCTCATTTAGGAGTTTTCTACTTTTCAAGCTTCTGTTCGACTCCAACTTTCCCTTCCTATTCAGCCTAACTCCCTGCTAAGAATGGCTTTAAGTTTTCCAAAGGTTGCATCTCATGAGATTTGAAGCAAAACGTGAGGACTGAACAGCTAGGCAGTTTAAGACGAACATCGGAAAATAGTAAAAGAAGCTTCTGAGGTCAGTTAAGCCCCACCCGCCCATTCAGACGCTTTCTCGCTGGAAAAACATACCAGCTCCTTTTCGTGGGACGTATCCTCCATGGTGGAATAGAGATCCAAAGCTCGGGATTGAAGTTCGCCTTCTTCCTGACCGTGGACTCCCGCAAGCAACAATAAAGCGGCTCCCAGCAGGGCGAAGAAGCGAGAGCTCTCCATGGTTCTGAAATGTAGCTCAGCTTCGCGGAGCAGTCTTTATACCGATTGTTGGAGTCACCTGTTGACAAAGCTTATTGCACTGTGATACGTCAGTACACCAGCGGGTACCGGTGGAGGTGGGCGGCGATGGGGGGGGGGGGTGAGAGAATCTGACGGATGAGTTAGACAAGAATCTTAATTTCCTTCAGGGCAGACAGAACCCTGAGAGGGTAAAGAAAACAAAATACAAGAGGAGCTGTGAGATAAATTAGCTAGCCATTTCTCAACAAAAACTTTGAACAGTATTGGTTTTAGGCACCATATATTGAATTGCCAGGTTCACATCACCTACCTAGCCAAAAACAAACTACACTGTCATTTTGTGTATTTTGTGTGAATCTTTCCATTTTGGGTTTGTAAATAATGGTTTGTTTAAGTAGTTTAAAGTGTGAACTCAGCCAATTAGCAACTCATAATTAAGACAACAGTTTACAGTGTTATGCTGGATTATTATTAAGATCCAGTCCACTTCGTCTTCATTGCCTATAGATGATTTACACAAGTATTATAAGAGTTCTATATGCTTGATTGTGCTGGATCTCATACTGGTCGTCAGTACACAGAGCCTTCTGGCTGTCAGTGCTTCCTGGAAAACCATTTAGAAATGCTCCGGATATCTTATTTGAACTCTTGGGCATTAATTACTTTGATGTCACCTCTTCCATGATTTTTATGATTCACATAAAAATATTGTAAGAAGTGAGTTGGAGGTTTGGGCTGAAATGTCATCTATGCCATCAATACATAGATAAACATAGTTTTATTTCACTTTTCACCATCTAATATAATGGAGAGCAACCTTTTTAGTTCAAGAATTCCATGCAATTCCATGCAGTATTGAGCAGTAAGTCAATGGCCATAATTAATGTGTATGTAACAGGTGAGCTCCCGTTACTTGTCCCAGCTTCTGCCAGTTCGAAGTAGTTTGAACCTAGCAGTTCGAAAGCACGTAAAAAATGCAAGTAGAAAAATAGGGACCATCTTTGGTAGGAAGGTAACAGCGTTCCGTGTGCCTTTGGCATTTAGTCATGCTGGCCACATGACCTTGGAGACGTCTTCGGACAGTGCTGGCTCTTCGACTTAGAAATGGAGATGAGCACCGCCCCCTAGAGTCGGGAACGACTAGCACATATGCTCGAGGGGAATCTTTACCTTACACACACACACACACACACAAATATGTACATACTGTACATGTACAATTTTTATGATAAAGTTCTAATTTTTAATATGATATGGTATAATAAGGGCATCAAAAATATCTAGTAAATTGTCACATACACCCACACCCACCATAAATTTCAGATTTTCTGAGTAATCTCTCACATTACAGATGGAACATTTTGCTTTATTTGGGAAAAAAATAATCAGCTTCTCCAAATTCAGTTAATTTCTTTATTAAAATAAGGAATAACCATTTTTTTAAAAACAAAAAAAATGGTTTACAATAAAAATCAACAATTAAAGTATTAATTTACATCAGGTAGAATGTAGATTGCTATTATATAAAAGATGCATAAAAATGAAGAACAAAAGGCAATAAAGAGATAATAACACTGGAAAGTTAAAAAAAAAATCACGACAGCAAAGCCCTGGGAGAATAAAAATGACTACTACTAAAAACTGAATAGATTGGTGCCAAGTTTACCTCACTGGGCAGGGTATTCCAAAGTCATCTCATCTTGGTAGACAGCATGAAATTATTCAGATTCTTGCTGATACTGTGACTTAACTGTATCCTTAAAAACCGAGAGTATGTTCTCAGTTTAAATGTTCTGTCAAAAAAGAACATGAAAGTAGGAGGGAACAAGCAAAAAAGAGGAGAGGGGAGGGGAGGGGAGAGGAAGGGGGATGGATGGGAGAGGCGGGGAGGGAAGGGGAAGGGAAGAGAGGCAAAGGGGAGGGGAGCGGAGGGGAGGGGAGGGGAGGGGAGGGGAGGGAAGGGAAGGGAAGGGAAGGGAAGGGAAGGGAAGGGAAGGGAAGGGAAGGGAAGGGAAGGGAAGAGGCAAAGAGGAGCTGCCTCACAGCATTCAAACAGGAAACCCAGATAATTTTACATTATTTCTAAAATGAATTCTGAACAAGTACTGATGTCCAAAGCAATAAAACAAGTAACCATAAACCAAGTTTAGCTAGGATGATTTTATTGAGTGCAATAAGAATTCTACATATGTATCTGTTTCCATCGCTTGTAATTTCATATTTTCCATTTCTCATTAACTCTTTTTTACAACTAGAAGTTTGGTTTCATTAGTTTAATAAGGAAATTGCTCATTATACTTTTCCAATATGTAAGGGAATTAGTACAAAATTTATACAGCACATTGCTTTGAAACTAAGGGCACAACAACCTAAAAGACTTTATATGAAATCCTAGAGCTGACCTGAAGGATGGAGAAAGCAAATAAATATTGCCTACAATAGGAGTTGCAAACTCAGGTTGCCTATTTCTTATCATAAGCCATAAACCATGATGTACAAACCACAATGGCAGAGTTTACATGTCCCACTAAAACAACGTAAATAAATATAATTGTGGCACCTCTCTGCATCCTTCTCCTTAGTTTTTAATAACCTTTTAAAAAATTAAAATAAATATGAAATGAAAAGCTGGTGTGTTCCAAAGTAAAGTTCAGTTCCATTGTTTCTTAAAGAAAATCCCAAAGCCACACTTGGATCCCACAGGAATTCTTAGAAAATAAAAAATGGACCAAATGTTATCTTTGGAAATGTACAGACTGGTAAACATAAAAAATCTAACTAAATTATTGAGTAAAATAATTTAGAGAGTAGTGACAAGCATCCAAAGTCTTTTGGAAAAAATGGGTGTTTTGTGAATACACTTGTGAATAGACAAAGCCCATCAAAATAATAATTTTGTAAGTACACCCAAGATGTATTCTTAAATTTTCATTAATGCCTTCTAGCCCAAAAGGTCAAGGAGAAATATTCCTGAAATCAGATTCAAACCTTTATGAAAATTAAATTAATTTCCATAAAGAAGGAGGCCAGAAAAATGTTAACTACATTTACAGAGTAGTTTTGAAACTTTTTTACTTTAGGAAACTTTTTTAGTTTAGGGGACTAATTTTAAAAAATCTGATCAATACTTGATCAAAAAGAAAAGCTTTAGGGACAGAAATTTGAATGCATTTGAATGCATTTTTCTTTTATTCTTAGCCTCTCCCAGATCCCATTGAATTCATGCAGAACCCTAAGACTCTAAAGAACACAGTTTGAAAAAGCCTGCATGAATGAAACTTGATTTCATTGATTGACTTTGGTAAAATAATCGAATATTGTTTGAGTCCTAGTCACCTCCAGGTTGGATTACTGCAATGCTTTCTACATGGGTCTGCCCTTGAAGAGTATTTGGAAGCTTCAGCTCGTACATAATGCAGTGGTGCAGACAATTATGCTCCTAGAACAGTTTGTTATACTCCTGCTCTACAAGTTACATTGATTGCCAGTTTGCTTCTAAGTCCAATTCAAATGCTAGTTTTAATTTTTGAAGTTTTTCATGGCATGGGACCATATCTCCCCAGTTATATCAGCCATCCCATTAGATCTTGTCATAGGTTCCATTGGCTAGGAAACTACAGCTGGTGAGTCCCAGAATACATGCCTTCCTTGCTGTGATGCCTGCCTTATGGAATCTTCTTCCTGAAATTAGATTGGCCTCATCTGGGATGAAATCCAGCAGGTTCTGGAGAACTGGTAGCGGAAATTTTGAGCAGTTTGGAGAACCGGCAGCAGAAATTTTGAGTAGTTTGAAGAACCGGCAAATACCCTCTCTGGCTGGCCCCAGAGTGGGGTCGGAATGGGGATTTTGCAGTATCCTTTTCCTGGAGTGGGGTGGGAATGGAGATTTTGCAGTATCCTTCCCCTGCCACATCCACCAAGCCACACCCACCAAGCCACGCCCACAGAACCAGTAGTTAAAAAATCTCATCCCTTAGGGAAGTGATGGCTAACCTTTTCCAAACCCAGTGCCCAAAGTGCGCGCGTATGCACTTGAATGCGCATGTGCACGCCTGAACCCCAAAAATGCAATATGCACATGACCCCCCATGTCCCCTACGCCATGCGCATGCACACACAGTCCACTGCATGTGCCCCACCCCATGCAAGAACACATGCCCCTGCACGCGCTCCACACACACACACACACACACACACACACACACACATGCATGGCAGAGATCTGAAGGCCAGCTAGCTGGCGGGAGGCGCATGTGCATGCACAGCAGAATTGAACTGGGGTGATGGTTTGCATGCCCACAGAGAGGACATGGACTATTTAATCTATTGTGCGTTACCCATAGTCTCCTTGGGTGAGATGGGTGGCTATATAAATTTGATGAAGAAATAACTATATTTATTTATTTATTTATTTTATTTATTTTATGCAATTTATATGCTGCCCTATCTCTGAGGACTCAAGGCAGCTCACAACAGTAAAATGCATAATTCCTTATTAAAACGATATAAAATTAAAACCCAATTTAAAACAGTTTAAAATTCATTAAAAAAACCCAGTCAGTCCAGGCTACGGAAGAACCAGGTCTTCAACTCGCAGCGGAACGAGCAAAGGTCAGGGCCCATCCGGAGCTCCAACGGAAGTTGGTTCCAGAGGGTGGGTGCGCCCACAGAGAAAGCTCTCCCCCTGGGGGTCACCAGCCGACACTGTCTGGCTGACGGCACCCTGAGAAGGCCCTGTCTGTGGGAACGCACCGAGTGATTGGGGATTGTCGCTGGTTGCAGGGGGTCCAACAGATATCCTGGGCCTAGGCCATGAAGGGCTTTATAGATAATAACCAGCACCTTGAACCTCATCTGAAGGGCAACATATACTGTATGTTAGAATGCATTTACACCATTGAAAGTTTATGTTAGATTGAAATTCCCATAATTTCCTGCCCATGTGACTAAGAGATCAGAGGCCAATCAAACTTCCCCTTGAAGATAATGGACAGTCTAGAAACATGAAATTAAATAAATAAGTAAGTAAATAAGTAAAGTAAGTAAATAATTAATTAGACATGTAGTTAGAAACTTCTACAAAGTATTTAGTTACAGAAAACTGACTAAGCTGGTATAACACCCCAAAACTATTGTATTTTTATGTCATTTTAGTAAGCTGCTTGCAAGCTACATTACTG